CATAGACGGATTTTCTGGGGGGGGGTGCAGGGGGGTGCTACCACCCCAATATTAGCTATAACCCCTCCCAAACAAAATGTCCACCCCTCCAAAAAAATTTTCAACCCCCCCAATATTCGGCATAATAAATAAATAATTAAATAGTCCACTCCAACGTGCAGAGTGTTGATGATACAAAATAAATGTAGGAGTACACTCGAACAGAAAAAGACAGTGCAACACTCTGAAACTAATCGCTCCTCGCTTGCATTCACTGGTTTATTGGAGCAATTGTAAAGTTTTGAAACTCTATTATCCTCCCTGAATAGAGTTTGCAGTGCCTTGTCATGCGAATAGCTTGCACGCAAGGAACGTTTGCAATTTTTACGAACACTATTTTTAGTTTTTAATTATTTTAGGAAATAGACTTGCCTAGATTTAATCTTTACGCCCCAAATATTATTTACATCGGAGTTGCATCATAAATCGTACTCGGATTCAACACAATGTCAATGACTTTATAAAAGTAAAAGCATGCTGTGTATTGGCCTATTGGGTTTACACTTTTACAGGTTCATTTAACTCTAAGTCTTTAACTCTCTCAAGTCTCAACAGACAATCGGACATGCCAAATCCATTGATATGACAAATTGACAACTTCAAGAAACTTTTTTTTGAAGCTAGAAATCATGATTTTTTTTCAAATTTTTCCTGGGATACTTTGTTTTCTGCTCTCTAGACTCCCCCTCGCGGCTCTAATGTTCCGCCCCTAGAATATAGACCTTACTGGGGTTTGGTGACACTTTGTGTTGCTTCAGTCACCTGCTCACGGCTCACCCCCCTAAAATTTCTGGCACCACCCCAGTAATAAATATGAAAATCCGTCTATGCCGTAGCAACTATACTTGTTTTCAATTGACCTATTCCCTAATGAACAACATTTTGATCTAGACAAAAATTTCATCACAGCTTTAAAGAGCATCACAAAATTAGTAATATTCCGAAGTTTTCGTGCGAAATGTTGTAAAACCTTTTTCAGAAAGCGGTATCAATTTCCCGTGCGTAATACAAAATGACTGAAAAACGGCAAACTTCGCAGGGCTATATTATCCGCATTTTACAATATTTCGCAACGAAACTTCGGAATGTTACTAATTTTGTATTACTTTTTCAAGATGTGATGAAATTTTTGTCTAGACTTGTCTAGATCAAAATTTTGTTCATTAGGGAATAGATCCATTGCATGTTATATAGTTTTAATGTAAGCGTTTCTGCCACCTCGTGCTCATTAATAAATTATTTACTACAGGTTGAAGTGCAAAATGTGTTAAAAGCTATTTACCTCATTACGTTCCACATGACCACTTGGCGGTTTGTGGAGGTCAAGAACCCCATCCAGGTCAAGAGACATATTCCAGTTGCCACGGTATACAGGAGCGTCTGAAGACATTGTTTTCAAGAGGTCGTAAACTTTCGGCACTAGATGATTTATGAATCTAAAATGTTTGTATAATATATAACTAATTGTAATATAGAATGATTTGAAGCATTATTTGAAAAAACCGATGAACATGCATGCGAGTGACTTGAAAAATTTCACAAGAAAACGTTTTCCATTAAAAGCGATTTTAAAAATAAAAATTATTATTCCTTAATCTGTGATGACGCTACAGTATATATAATCATTTATTATCTAGCCTAGTAGAGAATGAGATACTGAAAAAATACACAGTGAGATATTTTACATATCTTCACTAGTGAAGATATCGATCACGTGACTTTTAGTATTTATACAATTTTTTGCTTGGGACTATATATATATATATATATATATACTGAAAATAATAAACAGAACATTACACGGTGGCTTGAAGATATTGTTTTCACCACTTGAAGATAAAAGTCATATCTTCGCGCCGCCGTGTAATATCCTCTATTTATTTGAAGTGCTACTAACTCAAAATATGGTTTATGTGTAATATTTAGGTCGCTTGGATAAGAAATGTATATAATATATCATTATTATTTAAAAAAAACTCATCTTGATCCTTTTTGCTCCACAAACAAATGCACCTAATGACATCATATCCGGACAACAGTGAAAAATTTTATCTTGATGAGGTTTCATACTTCAAGGAATCAAGGATTATTACATTTCCCCTTAGAATGATCCAATTACTACACACACCAAAAATTATATTTGGGTTTATATATAGTACGTAGCACTTAAAAAATAGTAAGGGTCTTTTTATCGAACTAATTAGATAATTCATACAGCACAAACCAAAATTCTCTAGTATGATAACTTACCCTGTAACGGGCTTATGTATACCTATCATAGGCAGATTAAACTTTTGCTGAAGCGCCCATGTCATGGGAAAAAACACCGCACCTGAAGAATTATATTTACAGTTTTAAAACCTGAACTACTATTAATTAAAGAAGAGAAATTTATCTTATAGAAGACCAAAAAATCTTCAATTAAAATCGATCATGAAAGACGAAGATCCAGGGCAATTTGTTTGACACATAAATGGGGAAGACTTCTTGTTGGAGTTTCTTAATTCTCCAGCTGTATGTATTGTATTCTTGTTCAGAAACAGAAGTCCTGTGAAACCTTTGCATAATGGCAGATTATTCAGAGTAAAATTTTCAAGTTGATTTGGCTAAAATATAAACAATACCTGCATGGAGCAAAGACACATTGCTTAGGGGCCATTCACAAAGGATGTCCGAGCCGACGGGGGGGGGGGGAGGGAGGTTTGGAAAATCAGGACAAACTCGGACATAGGGGGGAGGGGGTTTTTAGCAATCCGGATGTCCGAAATTTAAAGAAAATCAAAAACAAATTTCTTTTTCCTCTATTTTGAATTGACCTCTCCCTCCCATTGTGAAATTGGCCGATTTTGACTGTGCGGTTAATACTAGATTTTGTTTTAATTAGTAATTTATATGTTTTTGTATTCACATTTATAGTTATAAAAAAGTTCTAAAAGTAAAAACATTTTTTACTCTTGACATATACAAGGTTGCGTGAGTTTTTGTGAGGCATGGCGGATGTCCGGGGGGAGGGGGGTTCACTAATTCGGACAATGCTGGACAAGGGGGGGGAGGGGGGGGTCTGAAAATCTATCATTTGGCCGAACATCCTTTGTGAATGGCCCCTTATAGAATTACTGTATAGTTGTCCCTACTCGACTACTGTATTCGATTGACTCCGCAATTGACGATATCTGTCTTCATATGACGATACATGAGGCCTACAGGTCGTGTCTACTCCAATAGTAGAATAGTGGTTACTCAAGCAAATTTTGGAAGTGTCTACGTAGTATTAAAACTGTAAAAATCAAACCTGCAGTCAGACAGTATGCTTGATGTTCTTCCTTCCATTCCATTATGCACCAATCCTCCTGGGTAAGACGCGACGCTTTTAAGAGTGGATCATCAGACTCATCAGGATGTGATGAAACAAATTCATCCAGCATTTTGTTGTACACGCCTTTTTCACGTGCTTCAAACTTGTCTGGATATCTCTCTAGTTTAATAATAGCGTAAAGAAAAATCAGCTCAGGTAAGGTAAAAAATACAGCGATACAGGTTGACCGTGGAACATTTATTATCCTTCCTAATTTAAATTTTCACGTTGCCAAGTTCAATTCAATTCCTTCCAAGGGCAAGGGTCGCAACCCAACCTCCTCCGCTTACATTGTGTTTGTTACTGCCCTAACATTCCAACTTAAGTTTCATAATTTGGAGTATTGGGTGGGTGAAGCTTCTCTAATTGTAAAGCCAATTTGGTATGTTAATACTGTATGCGGATAGTGAGGTACAGAACATACTATAGAAATACATGCATGCAGAACCCCTCGCCTTGCTAAAAAGCACCTATCTTTTCCAAACATGAACTATTTAAGATGTTTTTCAAGGTACAGTAACACAATATTTTTTGAGATAGAAGTAAGGTGGCAGCATAGAACACGTGCAGTTGACCTTAGGCCGCTTAGCACTCTCCCCTTGACGTCATTGACGAGTAAAATCATCTGGCATTAGACAGAGTAAAATAATTATTAGTATAGACTGCAATAGGGGCCGAGAGATATATCGTAGGTATAAGATGGTAGAGTGTTGTATAGTTTAGACTTTAGAGTATACAGTAGTTTGGTAATTGTAAGGTAAGGTTATTTATAAAATATTTTACAATATTTACCAATAGACATTAATTAAATAGACAAACAAACAATGAATGAATCAAAAGAACATGTCAAGCATTACTTGGTAGATAATCACATAGGAGCTCCAGGAATTCATGTTTTGCAAGGACAGTGGAAGGATCATCGTTTGTGACAAACACCAAGTCCTTCTTGGTTTCCAACAATCTCTCTTTCTCGCGTTGTTGAGAAGCATATGTGCGATCAATCTTCACCCAATTTTCCAAGTCTAATTTCTGCGTTTGCATCTTAATGCGACCTATGGAAATTATCTTCATATTTAAAGCCTGTTTTGTAAGTGAGCTACCCAGCTAGCCAAGTCACTTGGTAAGCTAAACAATTGAAATGCCACCAACAGTACTGTATGTATGTTAAAAAACTCATTAATAATTCATGAAGAAAACACAAAGAAAAATCATAGGCGTGTCGTATCTGTATATGTGATACAGATTCATGCTGATTTACATAAACTTTAACTTTGATTTTCTCGGCTTTTCTTAGTTATATCCGATACAACACGGCCGCTCATGTTGTAAATAGTACTTATAAAACATAATAGGTTACAGTCGGGCAACTCACATTTTTGGGTTCCTGGCGGCGAGGAAATTTTGCCTGAGGTAAAGAACTGTTAAGTAACCCAAAACAGAATTCATGGAAGAATTAACTGTTGAGGGATATACGGCTGCCTAGACTATATAACTTTAGACTAGTAGGCCGTGGGCTGTTGGCCAAAATTATTTCGCTTCGTGGCACCCATGTGGGAAATACTTCGGGTTTGGGGTTTATTTAAAAGGCATATAGGTACATCACTACCAAAAAAAGTTCCCAAGCAAAAAAGTTGCCCAATCCCGAGAAAATGGGTGATCAATGATTATCCTCTATTAAATTGTATTACAGCAAAAAAATGGGAAATTCTGTATTCAATTACAATAAAAATGACTTGCATCAGCGGAAAGCGTACAAAAAACCGCATATAAGACTTTTAAAAAGTTTTTTATTTTGTGATTTTTATGTCAAAATCGGTTTTGTAAAGCCACTGTATACACTAAAAAATAAAGTTTAATGGGGTCTTATTTTGAAGATAACAGCCGATGTTTCGTGCCATTACAAAAAGAACGCTGACGGGGAAATTAGAAAAAAAAACACTGAAAAGACCCGCGTAAAAAAGCCGCGACAAAATACCCGCGAAAAAACCCGCGACTTTCGTTAATAACCCGCAACTTTCGTTTCCGCGACCCGCGAAAATAACCCGCGAATAAAACCCGCGACCCGCGAATAAAACCCGCGACCCGCGACAATTAGATTAGGACGGTATTTGTCAATGGACCATTTGCATTATAGACTAAATTTTGATCTAAACAAGTTAAGACAAAAGTTTCATCACAGCTTGAAAGAGTATCACAAAATTAGTAATATTCCAAAGTTTCGTTGCGAAATGTTGTAAAATGCGGATAATATAGCCTTGCGAAGTTTGCCGTTTTTCAGTCATTTTGTGTTACGCACGGGAAATTGACAGCCCAATCGGGTGTTGGGGCATCAGAGTCCCGTTTGTAATACAAAATGGTTGAAAATTGCAAATTTCGCAAGGCTATATTATCCGCATTTTACAACATTTCGCTCGTTGCGATATGTTGGAATATTACTAATTTTGTGATGCTCTTTCAAGCTGTGATGAAATTTTTGTCTAGATCAAAATTTAGTCTATAATGCAAATGGTCCATTCCCACACGACTACAGTCCAGTGTGGAAAATTTGTATCGCATTCGCTTTGTCAGTGATGAAAATTCACCCGGGCAACGTTCTAAAATTTCAAAACCGCTAATACCTGGCATCTCAGTTTTATATGGTCCCAAGTATGGCATTCCATCCTTAAATGTTTCCCAAATGAAGGAATTTTCCACATTTTCGACGTCGATAACCATATTCAAACAATGTTCTCGTTTTCGACGTTCAAAATACGAGCACTCACTGATCCGTAAATATTTAACGGAAAATATTAGAAAACATACATAAATATTTTCCTGAATATCGACAAATATGTTGATCGGATTTTACTGCGCAACTCAATGTTTTGCGCCTATACCGAGCTCCTATCTGTATTGAGGACAGCTGCAACTTTTGTTTTCGGTACTTGTCTTGTCTATATGATCTTTCTCAAGGTCTTGTGAAAAGGAAAAAAAATTTTCCGGCCGGAAATGTAATTCAATCTGAAGATTTTCAGATTCCCATTCAATATCCATGCATGCAGTCAAATGAGTTATGATTTCGAAAAATGTTGTCTTTTTCCATATATGCTTTATTTATTAAGAATTATTATATAGTACAGAGTGAGGTACTGAAAAATACACAGTGAGATATTTTCCATATCTTCACAAGTGAAGATGTCGATCACGTGACTTTTAGTATTTATACAATTTTTTGCTTGGGATTATAGAATAAACAGAACATTACCCGGTGGCTTGAAGATATGACTTATCTTCTCGTGTTAAAAAACAATATTTTACTCACTCGCTGCGCTCGTTCGTAAAATATTGTTTTCACCACTCGAGGATAAAAGTCATATCTTCGCGCCGCCGTGTAATATCCTCTATGGACCGCTCACGAAGAAAAACGTAAATAAATAACCCTTTCCCAGTGAAAAAGATAATAATAACCGCGTTGTGCCGCCATTGTGCGGCTTTTTCGGTGGAAATATATATGGGTGCGTTATTAGACGAGTTCTTTTTTCGTTTGCATATTAATATATAAACAGAGCAGTTTTCAGTCCAGTTTCACCTTAATTCGGGACTATAAAAGTAGCTTAAAGGTCCAGACACACCGGACGCGAATCGACAACGCGACGCGATTTTTCGATATTCACTGACCGATAACTTTGATCCTAGTGCAAATTTTCCAAATATTAAAGCCGGTTTTCCATTAGGCGGAATTTTGCGCGCGGAGCGGAGTTTTTCTTTGTCTTTTCTAATTAGTTCCACCCGAGAAATACTTAAGACAAAGAAAAATCCGCTCCGTGCGCTTTAAGGCCTGATTCCACGGGCGCTTTTTCTCGGCGAAATGCGAAATATTTCGCCTGTTTCTTTTGAATTGTGGGCAATCAAGTAGAAATAATTTATTCGAGTGGTCGCAATTCAAAAGAAACAGGCGAAATATTTTGCATTTCGCCGAGAAAAAGCGCCCGTGGAATCAGGCCTTTAGAAGCGCCCGATATTGTTCCTCATATACATCAATGACCTCCCGAATTGCCTCAATTATGCAATGCCGAGAATGTTTGCAGACGATACAAGTGTTACCTATGCGGCCGACTCAGTGGATGAGCTCCAGAATGTCTTAACTCTGAATTGAAAAGCTTTCATAATTGGTTAATGTTCGACAAATAGGCTAAGCCTAAATGTTGCAAAAACAGAGTTTATGACGATTGGATCTAGGCAAAAGATAAGAGCTATAGATGATGAAATTATCATTGGGGCGTGGTTTGGGCGTGATTCGAACATAACTATCCGAAATCATAACTCTCCGAGATAACTCTCCCTTTAGCCGTCCCCACTCAGAGTAACATCACAAGCATCAAGCTCAAAGCTGGTCTAATATTTAAGACGCTAAAAGGAAATGTGCCTTCTTACCTCCAAGATATGTTTTCTTTTCGTGGCACTGGGTACAATATAAGAAATTCCGAAATACGGTTAAATTTGCCAAAGCCACGAACGAATTACCTAAAACGAAGCTTTCGCTATAGTGGGGCAGTTCTTTGGAATAGTCTTCCCCAAGATATAAGAAAACTACAATTATTTGCCCAATTTAGGAAAGCAATAGCGGAATATTATTAATAGTAACTAGTAATTTACCTGACCTCCACACGGCAATCTTGTAAACCAGTTCATGGTATTTTTATATTTATTTAATTTATCATACTTACCATTTGTAAACTGAAGATTTTTACCATGTTTAAATAAAATTGTATTGTATTGTATCACTTGGGGAACGTCGGAAATCGATTCTAAAGGTCAATTGCAAATTATCCCTATGGGGCTACGATAGGGGCCGATATTTTGAAAAATACAAAATAAATATTTCTAGTGGCCGTATTCAAACGAAATTTTCTACACGAAAGCGCTTGAATACAAGGAGTATTTTACTTATATTGACATGTGGCGAATTCCGAAGAGTTCAAGACATATTCAAGACTTTCTCGATATGAAATACAGAATGTTTGGCCAAGCGGTGAGTGAAATATACGATTGTTTTGGTTTGTGTAATGTTATGACGGCATTTGACACCCCGTTCGAAAGGTTATTTTATGAGGATTTCAATGGTGGTTTCGGTTTTAAAGCGGGCGTGTGAATACTCGTCGAGATATTTTCATCAGAAGCAATGGACCATTTGCATTACAGACTAAATTTTGATCTAGACAAATATTTCATCACAGCTTGAAAGAGCATCACAAAATTAGTAATATTCCAAAGTTTCGTTACGAAATGTTGTAAAATGCGGATCATACAGCCATGCGAAGTTTGCCGTTTTTCAGTCATTTTGTATTACGCACGGGAAATTGACAGCCCAATCGGGTGTTGGGGCACAATTTCCCGTTTGTAATACAAAATGACTGAAAATTGCAAATTTCGCAAGGCTATATTTTCCGCATTTTACAACATTTCGCAACGAAACTTTGGAATATTACTAATTTTGTGATGCTCTTTCAAGCTGTGATGAAATATTTCTCTAGATCAAACTTTAGTCTATAATGCAAATGGTCCATTCAGATAACAACGATTTTTTTAACTGTAGCATCTTTGCGTGCGGATCAGCATCAGCTGAACATCTTACTGTAAATCCGTCATGACGATCAGGCGCGGTCATGCTAAATATGGAGGGTGATTACACCGCGAAAATTAGTATTTGAATTTTGCATTCCAAGTTCTAGATTTTGTTGTTCGTTCTAAGCATTATGATATCAATTAATTTAATTTTGATATTGAAGCCCCGTTTACACGAGCAAATTTTATTTGACAAATTTCATATGTCAAAGATGTTTTGCTCGTCTCAAGATGACAAATTTGTGACAAATTTTTTGTGACAAATGCATTTGAACAAAAGCTAGCGTGCTAGCTTTTGTCAAATGCTTTTGATCAAATGAAATTTGTCAAATGAAATTTGCTTGTGTAAACGTGGCTTAAAGAATTGAATTTTGATGTTCCCAATTGCTTTTGCACTTCTGTTTGCGCATCCATTGTGATGAACACCGCGGAAAAACGTCTGCGCATGCACCAAATTATTAAAATATGGCGGGGATTTTGAATATCAATTTCTAAAACAAAATCATGCTTATTAATTGGTCAAAAATTAGTAAAACGAACAAGAAAATATAGCAAATGGGTAGACTAGACATAATTCATGTAAAAAATTGTTGATTTTAACGGACATGGCTTCGAAAATTTTTGCAAAATTATTCAAAACAAAAATTCAAACTAAAAAGTTAAGAAAACTCTCGGAAAGTTAAGCTTCTTAACCCACTCAAATTGTAGAATAAATCCTAAAGTTTAATTATTGTGAACACGAAAATTTCATAGTTTTATATTTGGCGACACAGTTTTTTTTAAAGAAATGTATCTCAAACTAAAATTCGGAAATTGTCGTTGCATAGTTGATAAACAAAATGTTTCAGACGATAAAGTTGCCTTCATGTTCTTGTACAATACAATTTCTTGAACCTTCTGGCTGTATTTATTCCTAGTTTTTAGAATGACATGTTTATTTTTGCGCTCGAAATCTGGCTGTAAAGACGCACAATGAAGTCACTCCATTTTACCGCCATTTTGAGCCTTCGGAAACGTTCGGAACAGCTTCTCATCAAGTTCGAAATACTATTACAGGTAAGGTTGACGCATGCGCAGACGTTTTCCGCGGTGTTATTGTGATGACGTAACATTATGCGTGACCCTCAGAACACAATTTTCAACTCGTATTTTCAAGACGCTTGCTAAGCGTTTACTCGAGCTAAAGGAGTGTTTTTGCTGCAACCGGTTGCATGGGGCTTTCTCGACGATAAACATCCATTCGACTCCGACATTTGTGATGTGTTCTTGCACTAACGTTAATCTTCCAATTTTCGTGATTTCGTGATATTTTTTCTCAGCGGTTTTCTATAACCGAGTACTTCATGTAAAAAGAATATAGGGGATCTTGAGAACCATAGTTATTTTTGGACCAGGAACTGGTCCCCAATCGCTGCTAATCTTGTTGTTGTTGTTGTTGTTGTTGTTGTTGTTGTTGTTGTTGTTGATGTTGTTGATGTTGTTGTTGTTGTTGTTGGTTTGTTGTTGTTGTTGTTGCTGTTGCTGTTGTTGTTTGTTGTTGTTGTTGCTGTTGCTGTTGCTGTTGTTGTTGCTCTTGCTCTTGTTGTTGTTGTTGTTGTTGTTGTTGTTGTTGTTGTTGTTGTTGTTGTTGTTGTTGTTGTTGTTGTTGTTGTTGTTGTTGTTGTTGTTGCCGTTGTTGCCGTTGCTGCCGTTGTTGTTGTTGCTGCTGTTGCTGTTGTTGTTGTTGTTGTTGTTGTTGCCGTTGTTGCTGTTGCTGTTGTTGTTGCTGTTGTTGTTTTGTTGTTGTTGTTGTTGTTGTTGTTGTTGTTGTTGTTGTTGTTGTTGTTGTTGTTGTTGTTGTTGTTGTTGTTGTTGTTGTTGTTGTTGTTGTTGTTGTTGTTGTTGTTGTTGTTGTTGTTGTTGTTGGGGGGCGACGCTCTTTGAAAAAACCCTAAGGCTCCGTCATTACTTGTCTGATCGGAATGAAATTTGACACAATTATTCTAAGCAATATTCCGCATCGATTGACGGTGTTCGATTTTTCACTTTTGACTTTAGAAGCAAGATACAAGCAATTTTTGACTGTATTCGTAGCAAATAATATATACATATTAATATTCAGCAAATATATTAGCAAACGCAAACGATAAGAAAGACATTGTCTTGTCTATTGTTGTGAACACAATCACAACAGTCTAAAGCTTCTCAAGAATGTGAACGACTGATTATAACAATTAATTATAAGCGTTAAGTTGACTAAATTTAACACGCTGGCTTAGTTTCTCAAAGCGTAGTGGAGTAATATTGCCGCTATCTGGCTATCATATAATATTCATAGTCCGATAGAAAATCGTGAACCGTAAAAACAAAGACATGAAAATTTGTTTTTAGCACAAGTATGCAGTTATGAAGCCATGACTAAGCGAGATGAAATTGCATTAACCTGGCAACAATTCAGATAATTTGTTACCTTAACTTATTTTGTAATTAATGGCAGGCACGGCAAGGCAAAATTTGATGTACGGCAAAAGTTAGCTGACTTAGGTACGGCATGTTTATTCTAAATATTGTGGGACATTTAACTTATCTATCGAATTCAAATGCGAGGAAATACTTTTGAAAACTGCGCATTTAGTTATCTATGCTTTGTCCAGATTTACACCTCATTTAGGCTATATACACACGGCACTAGACACATTTTGCCCGGATAAAGTGTATCTTGCATGACCAAATTAAAGCAAAACATTTATCGAACTCAGTCTACGTTGCAAACTTCGAGAACATTAGTTTCACAAGTGTCTAGTTATTTGTTTATCAAGTCAAAATCTCGAAGGTTTTGAACGTTTAACGATTTGCACAAGATCGAAACTGGGTCACGCAGTTCCTGGTTCACTATAGTACGATCGTACTTGTTTGTTAGGAAACGGGACGATTAATTGACGAATATATACATTGGAAGAAGATTACAAAATAATGAGTAAATTTCAGACAATTTTTTCCCATGGCTGACAATAATGAGTATATTGTTTTTCTCTCAAACAGAATATTTCCTTTAAGTTCAAGAATTTTATAACAGACAACGCATCGTTCTGATCTACTTACATACAATTTTGGAAAAATTTCAATGATTTTCCTACTTTTAGATGAATTGTTACGTAAGATTGACATACTCACTAGATTTTAAACCCAATCCAAGCTTTTTATTTATGTTGATATACGGACTTACCGATCGTAAACTTGCACTAGAATTTATTGCAAACTTCCATCTCCTATGATTTTGGGATTATGCGAGATGAGCTCAAGCAAATCTGGTCGCACATGTGCAAAATATCTGCTGAGGAACTGTCATATAATGACTCCCTCCTCAGGAAATGATGGCTAATTGAGCTTGAAAGGACGTAAGAGTAGTTAAAACACTACATTAGATTTTTATGGCTTATTGGATGTGTCTTACTATATCGCAAAGTATTTTAATAGATCTTATTTAGCCTACAGCTTGTCTATTTTCCCAAAGATTTTTCTCTAGTAAGTAAATGATAGTATAAAAATTAAATTCGTTAGAAATGCTTCTTTATTCTTGCCCAGTCCCCCGCGCAGGCTCCTTGCAGAATTTCTACATTTTGGGGGACAAAAAACTTTCGGTTAATTGATTGAAATATGTCAATTTCATGTTAACTTGATCGCTAGAGTTTGGAAAAATTTCAAATTTTGCCGGACAGCTAACCCCCAGATAGCCTCCTACTTTTCACATTTTTGGCCATTTTAAAGTATGTCGGCCTCCCCCCTGCCCCCATGATCAATGTTGGAAAAAGTGGGTTGAATTTTCTCTTTTCAGTCATTCACACAACATTAAATTGGGGGTGAGGGGGTCATTTATGCGGTTGTCTCAATAATTTTTGCTCCTGGTTGTTGGAGAAACTGTACGGCAGAACAATTTTCTGCTAGTTCTAGATGAATACCTCTCGTTGAGGCACAGCTGTGTAAATAGACATAAGTAAACCTTTTCCATTATTCCCTTAGCCTATGAATTTCTTTTTCTAACATGCAATGGACCTGCATAGTCTACTCCGGTGTTTGTTCAAGGTGGACCATCATCAACTCGTCTTTCTGGCAAGCTTGGTGGACAAGAATGCGGAAACGGTTTTCCACTATACTTGGTACCATACCACACAA